CTCAAACTGCAGGAGCTGTTCAAAGGCAAGAGGGATTCCTTCCTGGAAGGACTGATATCAATCCCAAACATCAGGTTAATGTCATCACAGTCAGGAATGAAAAGGAGCTTAAAACAGTGCAGAAAAAGAGGTTGAGTGCAGAACAGATCATGCAACTCATGGAGTCTGAAGATGAAAATTTTTCTGTCTCAGAGGTGAGTGACGAGCGTCACCAAGGAGGAGTGACGCTCGTCACCAACCTACAAGGATATCGGGTCACAAGTGAGTGACGAGGGTCACCCCCCTGGTGACGGTCGTCACCCACCCCAGAACGAAGCTGCTTCGCCTGTAACTGCAAATTATGACCAGGAACGTGTCTATAAACCCAAAACACCATTCTCCAAGCATCCTAGGAAGTCTAAACAGGATATAGAAGAAGCCAAATGTAAAGCTATGATAGACAAGCTGATGCTTGAGATCCCACTTGTTGATGCAGTCAAGCTTTCACCAGCTCTAAGAAGGTATGTAAAGAGAATGGTTGTGAATGGTGTAAGTCCTGAGGAAGGAGCATTGCTTACCAGAGACATCAGTGCAATTCTCTTAGGCACAGTTCCAAAGAAGAAGAAGAAGGTGACTGTTTCTGAACAAGTCAATACCATCACTCAAAGCAGAGTTCCAGAGAAGCTATCTGATCCAGGGACCTTTGTGCTTGATTGCTCAATATCTGCAGGACGTTTTCCACACTCTCTATGTGATCTAGGGTCAAGTATTAACTTGATGCCTTTCTCTGTTGCTGCTAGACTTGGAATGACTGATTTCAAGCCAGCTGGGATCTCTCTCATCCTAGCAGATCGATCCATAAGAACCCCAGAAGGCATGTTAGAGAATGTTCATGTTAACATTAAAGGCTGCATAATTCCTACAGATTTTGTGGTTCTGAAATATGCTGAAGAACCTAAAGATCCTCTTATTCTGGGAAGACCATTCTTGGCTACTGCTGGAGCCATCATTGATGTTAGAAGGGGGAACATTGAGCTTGATCTTGGTGATGCTGTCATGAACTTTGACATGGATAAGTTAAGAAAGAGTTCTACCATTGATGGTCAGACCTTTTCTGTAAGAACTTCCAGAGATAAAGAGACTGTCATGGAGCATTCAGAAGACACTATTGCTGAGTGTGTCAATGAATCAGATACAAGTAGGCAAGTGAGCAAGATGGCTGTTGAAGAGCTAATATCTGAAACTTCTGCAGAAGCTGTTGGGTTTGAAGATTGCAGTGAGGATCATATCTTCATGACTAGGCTTGAAAAAGAGGTTCCAATGAATGCCAAGTTGCTGGAGGAAGACGTGTTTGTGATGGAGGCAAGACTTGCAGAGCTGAATTGCTGGAAAACTGCAGCAACTCGAACTGCAAGGTCAGTGACGCTCGTCACCAACCTGGTGACGCTCGTCACCAACCTGAACACAAAGCAGCAACGTGATTTTACAGCTACAAGTCCATCATATGTTGTCAATCCGAAAATTCACCATTCCACAACCCATAAACCTGCAACTAAGCAAAGGTATGCACTTCCTGGAACCAGTTCCAAACCTCCTAATCTCATCAATAAGAATTTAAAAGGTGCAAAAGATGCTTCACACTTATGCAAGCAACGAGATTCTCGTAGAATGTTTGGTGTTTCTTTTGATGATTCTGCAGGAAAAAGAAGTATCCCACCCACAGTCACGACCCACTCTGCTGATGTTCCTCACTTCCTTGGAAGTTTTCATACATCTACTGCTTACAAACCACCATGGATGAGGAGACATTCTTCTCCAAGGCATTCAATGCCACCTTCTGTTCCACCAGCTGTCTGAACAGCAATCAAAGTCGAGCTAATGACTTTAAACAAGCGCTTAGTGGGAGGCAACCCACTAGTAAGTTTTCTTTTTCATATATTAGTTTAGTTTTCTATTACATAGCTAAAAAAACCCAAAAACATGAGAAAAATCGAAAAAAAAAAAGAGTCACTTTGTTCAGTTTGCTTGGATGATATCTTGTGAACTTGTTGGACTATGGATTATGCTTTGTTTGGATGTTTTGATGTGTGTTTTGAGTGCTCTTACAGTTTGACTTCAGAGTACACATGATGGCATAGCATTTAAACATCCAACATATCGATTCTAGAGTATCAGAGATGGTGACGCTCGTCACCAATCTGGTGACGCTCGTCACCAATCTGGTGACGCTCGTCACCAATCTGGTGACGCTCGTCACCAATCTGGTGACGCTCGTCACCAGGTCCTTCGCGAGGTACCACTTTTCCACCTTGGTTCTATAACTTATCATGCTTCATTTTGACCACCTCTTGGCTTAATAACACTGGGGACAGTGTTGTTTAAGTCTGGGGGAGGTGGTTACTGACGTTGTGTGCTTTGTGTCATGTTTATAGAGTCTTAAAGTTGAGTCAAAAACCTGTTTTATAGAGTCAAAATTTTTGAAACTGTCATTTTTTCTTGGAACTAACCATATGACGTTTTTGATGATAAGAACCATTGCCACATTAGTTGATTACAAGTCTTACTAAGTTGAAAGTCATAGGTAGATCAGTCTAGCAATGAAGGTTTAGGTTCTTAGAGAATCTGGAAAATGTGCTGTTAGCTCCACCTTAATGAACTAAAAACTTCTTGTCTTGGTGATTGATTCTTATTGATCTTGATTCTCTCTTTCAGCACTGACAATAAAGTTAAAATACAGTCTCTCTTTGATCTTCCCTGATGTAGTTTTTTAAAAGATTAAGTCCAAAGAATGGTGCATTCATGACCCTGTCTCCTCACAAAGAACAACAGTAGTGAACACACTCAAGAACCTGTCTCCTCACAAGGAACACAAATATTGAGTAGCATCATATCTTAGACTGTAATAGTTGAGAAAAAAGAAGTGAAAAATCAAAAGTATCCTAAGGAAAAGATCAAGAGAAGAGAAAATAGGAGAGTTGTGTTGAGATCTATTTGTTCAGTTGTTAGGAAGGGAAAAGAATCTGTAAAGTGATTGAGATGATAGAACCTTGATTAGATATCACACTTAGATAAAAATAAGGAGTTAGCAGTAGAAATTTCGGATTTCTTGAAGGGATTTGGACTGGACTTGAGAGATTTGCTAAGCTTATGATGATTAGACTGAAATTTTACCTTGTGTTGACTCTGTGGTATGTGGATTCGAAAGCTCTAACTAGTATGGTGTTCCTGATGACTGACTGACTGTTTCTTGTTTTCAAACCTCGGCCTTATTCTTTGTCTGATGTTTGCTTGAGGGCAAGCAAAAGCTAAGTCTGGGGGAGTTGATATATCATGGTTTTTATGGTTTTTTAACCATGATATAAGTCCTTTTTATTGAGTTCTTTTGGTCTTTTTAGAGTCCTAGAAGAGTCTTTGCAGGTTATAGCATGTCTGGAGCATAACTGGAGATTTTAGAACCTTTTGGAGCATTCTGAGTTGAAACCATGAAGTACCTAGCTCGAAGAAGAAAGTATGCCATATGGTGACGCTCGTCACCCAGAAAGGAAGGGGCCGTGGCCTGTTTTTAAAAGATTGGGAAGAAATTGCAGTTTTGGCCCAAAAGTTCCAATATTTGCAAAAAGACCCCAGATCGTGTTTTAGCTTGTATATTAGGTTTTTCAGCCATTCTTTTGGCAGATATCTTGTATCTTATTATTTTTGAGAGCTTTAGAGAGAGATTTGTAGCAGAGCTTTTGGAGAGACAAATCAGACTCCTTCAGAGCAGATTTCGAACTCCTTTATTTCTACTTCTTATTTCTATTATGCAATCTATTCTATTCATGATGTTTTCTCAAATCACCATGTCTGAGTAGTTTGTTAGTTAAGTTAGGGCTTTTCAAAGGTTGAAGAAGAGTTTGTAGAATTGCTAAAAACTTTTAGGAAATTCATTGATTCTTCATCTGTGCTTGCATTCATATTGATTTCTTAGACACATCATCTGGATTTCGAAACCCTAGGTTGTTTGATAGATGTGAGAGCATTATTAATCACCTGAACTAATATTAGATGAGCAAAACGCCTTAGTACAAAGAGATTTGGCTTATGAGTTTTGTGAACAATTGAACCTGATCATTACTGCATGTTTAGGTTGTTAGGGTTTGCAAAGAAATTTGAAACTCTGTGATTTAGACATAGATAACTTCTGCAATGAGAATTGATTAGTTATATCTTTGCGATTCATGTTCAAGACGGTTTTAATTCATTCCTAATTGAATGCATTCTACACTCTCGGATTCAACCTGCGAACTGTCCTGACTTAGCGCCTTTAGCCTTCTGAACTTTAAGAACAAGCATAAAAACGCTCTCTTGCATTTATTTTACTGTTTTGCATTACATTCATTATTTATCGCTTAGCTTAATCTGAATCTATAATCGCTAGTGTGGTTTACATACTCCATTGGGATTCGAGAACCCCTTGTACTACAACTGCTTTTGCTGTGCACTTGCAGTAGTTTTATTTGGGTAAAACCTGACCCTATCAACTAACTGTATGAATACATGTCTCCTACAAAAACTACTTAAAATTAATAAAATATATTGATTAAAAATCTATTACTAACTTTAAAATGGAAGTTTAATATAATATATATCTTTTTTAACTGACTTACTGTATGAATACATGTCTTCTACAAAAAATATTTAAAATTAATAAAAATATATTAATTAAAAATCTATTACTAACTTTTAAATGGAAGTTTAATATAATAAGATATCTTTTTTAACTGACTTACTGTATGAATACATGTCTCCTACAAAAACTATTTAAAATTAATAAAATATATTGATTAAAAATCTATTACTAACTTTAAAATGGAAGTTTAATATAACAAAATATCTTTTTTAACTGACTTACTGTATGAATACATGTCTCCTACAAAAACTATTTAAAATTAATTAAATATATTGCTTAAAAATCTATATAAATATAAACACAAAGGTGTGTGCTACTTCACCAAAAAACCTTTTTAACCCCATTGACCCAAATGGCTCGATCATCCGGACAAGTTTCTCATGTTGCGGCAACGATTCCAATGGCTATTGTTATGGCCATTTTTTGCATTTTTCTAGCTAACAACGTAACCCATGCCCGAAGGCCGACCACCTACAATGTTGGTGACAAAAACGGTTGGGACACCAACACGGTTATTTCGATGGACACTTGGGCACGCGGCAAAACCTTTTACGCTGGTGATATTCTCGGTATGTAATCTGAACAAATATATTAGTAATAATGTGGTTAATAAACAATCTAAAATATTCAGAGTTTAGTGGCATAATTTTAATCGTTAAGAATAGGGAAGGACTTGCTGCAAAAATCACCTCAGTCCAGCACAAGCCATTGAAACTTGGATTAATGTGGTCTGATAAAATAGTGACCGGTCCAACCCAAATCAGACGAATTAGTTTATACCATATATTTTGGTCGATCGATCCAATTCTAGTTAAGTGTCTAATAAGATCTTACTGAAAACAATATATTTATTTGTGGTGTTACATTGCAGTATTCAGATACGATAACAAGATCAGCAATTTGGTGGTGGTAAACCAACCCGGTTATGAAACGTGTACAGCGAACAGTGGATCGAGAGTGTACAACTCCGGCAACGATAGGATCCAACTTCCTTATGGTCGTAGCTATTACATCGGGACAAAGAAACCGACAGATTGTTCCGACGGTATGAAGCTGGCCATCAATGCATTGGCTCCAAAATAATAAAATAACTAATTAGCTGAAGGTGTTTATGATTAGTGATTGAGTTATTTGTAACACAGTTTATGCATTCAAACTCTGGTATTAATAAAATACCTAATTACTGTTTTATGTTATAATAAATCGCCTCCATAGTCCATACTTTATAATATAATCTAATGACCTTTACAAAAACTGCACATTTCCAAAACCATCAGTCCATAGTGTACTGTTGCATTGCTTCGGTGCGTTTCTCATGAACAAACATGTAATCCAACGTCCGACTATTCCTGTGGTCTGAAAATGACCATAAAGTTAAATGAACCACAATCTATACAAAGTTTTCAATCTCTTTTGAATTAAAACTAGATGATTTCCGCACATTGGACTGTTGCATTGAAGTGTTCCGGTACGATTATCAACTAGTGAATATGTTGGTGGTAAACCGAACCGGGTATGAAACATGCATACCGAACGAGGGATACGAAGAGTATAATACCGGCGAGGATGAGATCCAACTTATTTACGGTGGCAATTATTTCATCGGAACAGATAACTCTGTAGATTGTTCTGCTGGTATGAAGTTGGCAATCAACGCCTTGTCCCCGGATCTAAACTGTCCATGAGTTATAAAAAAGAAAAGTGTCCATGAGTTACACAGTTTAACACAGACACATCATATACTTTGATTCACATTAATGTCACAAGTTAAGAGTAAATGGTATGAAGAGTATCACTAATTTTTATTGTCCTGTAATGAAGAAGAGTGTTGCTACTTGTCCTATGACAGCTTTTGTTTTGCCAAATCCATGAGGTCTCTTTGTACATATTTGCCTAACGATACCAAAATCGCTTCATCGAATAATAAACATGTATATAAAGATCACCAAGATGATCTTAAAACCGAAAAACAAAGTTGTAAAAGTTGATTCACTCTCCTGCACAGTGCATCCTCCTGATGAGATGTTACACCACTGGATACAACAAACCTTTCTTCATTTACTGTAGTTTTTAAGAGAATCAGGGCTTAATCGTTGTGTAGATGGGAGGAGTCTCTCTTGCGGCATCTATTAATATACCAAGTCGCATGTTTCCTAAGTCCCATGCCGATGAGAACTTTGAGACTTGTGAGCATTATATATGTTATGACAAATAAGAGGACCATCCACAACACTCTCCATGGGAGAGGACTGTACGGCAAGTGTGCTGCATATACTGGAGTCATTACTCGGATAACCTGAAGCCCAACAAACACTTACTTAATTCAATCTCTTTTTTTTTGTTTTTGACATATCACACAAGCAGGCCTTTCATGAGATTTTAGGTCAAAAGGGGAAGAGGAATATATACCACACAAGCAGGTGCAATGGGAACGAATGTGAGATTTGTCTTTCTATCTTCCGGGCGAATGTTCAAAGTCTGACAAAGAAGATGACCAGAGAAGGATAAAATGGATGTAAGAAACACAACATCCAGCACAGAAATGAAACAGCAAAGGGAGAGAGAGAGAGAGAGAGAGCAAGAGATGCAGTCTCATCCATACCTGCTCGCAGAGAGCTTGAAGAAACTCAGAGTACGCTATAGGTCTGATGCCATTGAACTTGGCAAGAAATGAATGCTTGATTATGTCTATCATCATCTCACAGAAGAAGACCATAGTAGCATTCTACAGAGTTCAAGGTAAAGTTACTTGTGAGCAACTCGGAAAGAGGCTTGTATGTAATTTGTATCTACCAGAGAATTATGTACACTTACATAGATAAAGTTTCCGAACCATGGACCTTCAGCCTCAAGAATATTTTGAGCCAAAACAGACACCAAGAAGGCCGATATGTGAAATCTCTCTATCGAATCTGGTAGAGAAATAGCAAGGAAAACCAGAAATCAAAAACCAAACGACAAACCTGAAATTACAGTCTCAATCAGACCCTTGGTTGAAGTAAGACTAAGAAGTAAGCGGATAAACAGAGGCGTCGGATACCTACAAAGGGAATGGAGTAAAAGCTTACCTGCATATACAAGACCATGAATGTTGTCCTTACTGAAACGCTTGAAGACACTGCTCTTGATCTCAGCAAAGTTATTTGACACCAGAAGGGCCAACAAAGCATTGTTGTGAGCAACGATACAAGTTGACAAAGTAATTGCCTGAGCTAATAAAATGAATGAATGGAGAAGTGAAGACAGTTAAGGAGACGACAGAATGGAAGATGTGGAGGTTGTCAACAAAAATCAAACTAGAAATCAAGTAATAAGGATATTTGACGCAGCCATAGTTAATGCTAGGTCAGAAACGAATCTCCAAGTACAAAATCTCATTTTCTCAGGAAGGGAAATAGCCAGTCCCTCTGCGGAACTAAACAAGGCCCCAAATACATCTCCACAAAAACTTTGACAGAGTCTATCAAAAATCTGAAACACAATATTTATATTAGTACCAATTGGATAGAGAAGATGGTAAACTTGATCATGAACGACATACAAGGAAGAAAAGTGAAATAAACATGAAAATCCAGAGATGAAATAAATCTAAAAGGAAATTTACGTTACCTCCAAGATGTTATAAACCACATATAGTTTTATGGTACTTTGACCACGAATCATGTGATAAATTAGGCTGATATCTGTGGAAACAGACAATAAAAGCAAAAAAAAAAAAAAAAATCAAATTAGAGGACTGTTTCAAGCATCCATTTTCTCATCACTTTGATGATCTGAAAAGACTAATCCATTTTTTCAACACAAGTGTTGCGCTTTGTCCATCTAAAAATTAACAAATGAAGTAGTCCCCTATGCAATCCAGTGTACCACTGCAGATGTTTTAATAGATTAAACTTTAAATTATATTACAAATTTAAGCAAATCAGTGAGCTTTGAACTACACCTGTTCTCCCAAGAAGAATGGTACCAGAAGCCAAAACTAGAAAACAAGCAAGATCAGACAGCTCCGATGAGGAAGGCCTCCTGAACTGCCTGCCACGAATATTATTAAGTTACTTTCTCATAACGTGAATAGCAGAATCATGTGTATAGCGAATAGTATGATTAAGGCATAATACACTTGCGTCAACGATGTTCACATTGGGGTAACATAGACTGGTTATTATCAAGGCAGGATCTCTAATAAACGACTAACCTGCTCTTAAAAGCACCCCAGAAAGTCAGCAAGACTCTTATTGGCATGACTGTCAACAATGACAGAAATGAGTTGACGCAGACAAAAAAGCCAGTATTTATAAGCTGCATGAATTCAAATTCTTTAACAATGTGAAAAAACGTTAACTGAGAGAATACATATAAATCAAAATGGGATCTTGTCTTCGTCTAAACACACATCACGAGCTAACTAAGAATGTTCATTCTGTGAGAGACAGAGACAAGAGAAAGCCGGTTTTACCACTTCACATCGCCATGGCAAGCGGAAGATTGTATCATATATTCTTTCGCGTTCTGTATCATTCCCAGTACTCGTTGTGCTCCGTAACGAGATCCCACCATAAATCTCCCCCAGAAAGTACTTCATAGGTGACCTTGTCTCAGCAGAAAGAACTGATGAACAAGATTAGTGCAAAACCATAGTAAACATTCATTTCGAAGGCCTCACGCATTAGAGGGAAGAGAGCAGCAAAAGTTTGGAACTTACAATCAGGATCATCCGCCATAAGCTGTTTCCAGTCCAGAGAAGCTTCTGTGTCTAGTCTCTTCACTGCATTCCCATTGGTCTCGCTTCTCGGAAACTGATTCTGCACTTCTTGAAACGGTGGGTTCTCGGAGGAGCTTAGCTCCGCACTGGTCTCCTCCGCGTAAAACTTCTTATCGGAAGTCACCGTGTCAGAGAATCGGTCATCGTTACTCCCGTCGATACTGCCATTGACGTTCCTCTGCCTCAGCTCGCCGAAATTGAACCCAGTTTGGTGTACAGTCTGCGTCACGACGCACCCGCCACCGCCAAAGTAATTCAATCTGTTTTCAAAACTCGCCCGTTCTCCACCGATATCGTAATTCCCAAAATCACCGGAAAAACCACACGAACCGTTGGCGATCGCCGCTGAATAAGAATCGCCATCCTCCGGAATAGTTTCGACTTCGGTCGCCTTGTTCTTCTTCTTCTTCCTGTGCCTCCTTCGTTTCCCGTTGTCCCTTGGCGATTCCGTAGCCTCGTTTCCGCTAATCGGATCTGAGCTGGATCGGCGAATTGAAGGAACTGAATCATCCTCAAAGGAGCTGCTTCGGCTGAGAATCTCAAACGATAGATTCCTCCCCGTGGACCGAACCGCCATTGTCTTACGTATACGCAAGAGGACCAATGGAGAAGAGACGACGCAAAAACATATACAAAGGAAAGAAAAAAAAACCTAACAGTAAGCAAAATAATTCAGAAAATGATGGATTGACGAAATCGGAAAGCAGAGAGACAGAGAGGAGGGGATTATTGTCGAGCAGCAGAACGCTGTTTTGGAAAACGGCGTTTAGATGCGTGACATGCGTCGTACGCTTTGACGCGATTAAAGAAAGACGGTGACGAATCTAGCCAATTATATACTGCCATGTGTATCCAGCAAGTCGCTTTCACATGCCTAGGTGACACAAAAAGTGTAAACTTTCTCATTCCATATAGAAATCAAATCATCACGGTCCATAAAATATAAAATAACCGTATAACTCGAGAATCAAACAGCTTAAAGTTAGATGATTATTTTTGGTTAAACATTTTAACCCATGTGAATAGTGTAATTTGGAATTAGTCGATGTAGATTCACCCATTACTAATCTGTGAATCAAGGAGATTACATAGATCCACCGGATCAGATAGCAAATGGATTAAGTTCAAATTCTATTAATCAGTGTCTTAAGTTTATAATCTAAATAGGTAGTTGGCCCGCCCATATGTACAGACATCATTTTTTTATAAAAAATTAATTATTAATAATATATATTATTAATAATAAATAAATGATTGGCTGGTTTAGTAATATATTTATAAGAAATTTTTGTTGTGAAAAAATGTTTTAATAGATTTAAAAATTGTATATAATAAAAAATAAAATATACACAGAACTTAAAATATTTTTAAAAAATGTAAAATAAAATAAAATGATTCGTCGCTATTCTTTGTTTTCTATTTTTATTTATATTTTTCATCTTTTTATAGTTTTTATCTTATTCCGACACTTTATGTCTTATTTCTGGTTCATAATTTTCACTATATATTTGAAATTCATTCACATATAATATAAACATTTGATCTTTATTTATAATGAGACAAATTAAGATGATAATAAAAGTGAAGAAATTTCCCTTCTAAAAATCTGACGCCGCAAAATTTTACACAAACAATTGGACTTATAAATATTTCGCTAAAAACTTACTTAAAATAAGATTTCAAAATTCCCATCAAAAAACCGATTTCACAAATTTTATGCCAAAAACATAAATAAGTAACTTTTGCACCAAAAGAATTACATCAAAAAGATGATTCAAAAGCATTTAATCAAAATTTTGATTATGTGAATTTTTCGCCAAAAAGTGAATCCATAAAAAAAAATTCGCCAAAAATTTTACATTAAAAATGTGATTCCAAAAACTACCAGTCAAAATTTTGATTTCATGAATTTCTTGCTATGTAAGTAAAACCGTAAATCTTCATCAAAAAACTTATTTAAAAATATAATTTCAAAAAAATTCCGTGAAAACCCTAGTTCAGAAATTTTCTGTCAAAAACATGAATTTGTAAATTTCCCACAAAAAATTTTATTTTAGAATATTTTAATTTGATTTCGTGAGTTTTTGCCAAATATTATGAATCCATAAATTTTATGTCAAAAATGTGATATCAAAAATTTTTGACTAAATAGGTTGTCACAAATTTTCCATTAGATACTTAAAATCTGTAAATTTTTATGATAAATTTTTTGTATCGATATGTAATTTCAAATCTTTTCGACAAAAATATAATTTTTCCAAACTTTTATCAAAATTTTGAATACTTCAATTTTGTATCAATATTTTAACAACAAATTTTATTTATAGCTTAAATAATGTAATGTTACAAATCATGTATATTAAAAACTGACATGTCACAATTACATCATCATTGCACATTATCATTTCTATGTGACATTAAAATTATTCAAATTAAACATATTAACCAATCAAACTAAAATAAATCAACATTTTTATTAAACTGCATTGATAGGTACTCTGATGTAAGCATCAAGTCATATACAACTGAACCAGTCAAGAGATGGAGCATTGGAGCTAAACCAGATGATGCTAAGCTTGTAGCTGAGGAGCTTGGAGGCTTTATAGCTGTATTGGGAGATGCTAAAGACTTAATCTCTAAACACCATCATTCTGATCATCAAAAGGATGATTCTGATCAAGCCAAAGACGGGCTGGTTCATTACAATTCGCCATTTAACCAAGGAGAACCACCAAACCATTTCATATCTACATTGGAGCCAATTAAGCAAACTTCGGATATACATGGAGCTAGCATTTCATTCAACCGTCCTTTATTATTTTCTGAAGATATAAAGCTCTCTAAACTGCCTGATCAAGTCAATAGCCGAGCTCAAACCAGCCAAACCAAAGGAGAATCATCAAAACCAACATATCAAGCCATTGGAGCATTATTGGAGTCATATATGGAAAGCTCGGATTTATATCATATGAAGACATTTTATTCACCCTCCCTCACGACCACTGAAGCTTACAAGAGTCATTCCACACCAGAACAAGCCAACACACGCCCCATTTACTCAGAAGTCAAAAGAGATTACATCAAAGAGAAGCTTTCCTCATTTGAAGATCATCATTCATACCAAATCAAGATTAAAGACCAAATGCCATCATTATCAGTCAATCTAGACCCTACATCATCTCAAGATGATCATGAACGTCCCTATAAGATAGAAGAGTCAAAGATTAACTCCATTTCGTCACCACTAATCAAGCCACCCCCTTTTCCCTATTATGATAATGGCTAGAAGATCAAATCAAGCCAAGACTAAAATTCCAAACTCTTTGCTTTGTTTTAATGTCTTATGACCGTTTTATTCATGATATTCTGATCATTATATAAGCTCAAACATATGTATTTTCATAGCTACCAAATTATTAATCAAGAAAAGTTTATTTTGTTTCAAAGAGAGTTGTCTTTTGAATCAATATTGTTCCTGCTTATTACTAGTTCTTCAAGAGGGATTCTTATAACTTGTAAAGAGTGTAGAGACTAGTGTTCTTGTGAGGATTAGCCCTTGAACATTAGAATCTAAACCCTTTGTGTTTGGGGTTCAAGCATAGCTGGCCAACCAACCATCTAGCCATTCAACCATCAAAGGCTTCTAAGCAAAGATTTCAAAGGGACATTACTTGGAGCATTTCAAGTATTGTATCATATTCTCTCTGTTTCATAATAAGTGTCATTTAAAGAAAATGTATTTGCATTGTAACTAGATGTATTTAGATGTGTTATGAGTTTAATACATCCAAATATATTGCAAATATATTTTCTCCAAATGACACTTATTATGAAACAGAAGAGTAGAAGATTGAACCCCTTCAGGTTATGTTCAAAATTTTGGTTCTTCTGGTTTACCGTGACCGTGATCTCGGTTCGTCGTCCCTTCCAAATGAAGTTTTGCAAAATCGAACCTTTTGTGCCAATTTTCTGAAATGTCTGATTAATCCAAAGGTGGGAGAGTAAAGAAAGACGCGCGACATGGCACTTCCTCCTTCTTCTCCATCGTCGTCGTCTCCATCTCTACAGCGTCTCTCCACCTTCAAAAATTCTCCTCCTTCTTCACTCTCCGGAGCACCACCACCGTCTACTTCTTCCCCTCCCTCGGCTTCACCGCTAGACTCTTTCGCCAACGATCCCGTTCTCGCCCCATTTCTATCTCCTTCTTTCTCATCCGCATCTTTCTCATCCGCCGCACTCGCCTCTGGATCCCCCGCTTCCACCGCCGAACGTCTCCACCAAGCCATCCGCCTCCTCGATTCGCAGCTCCGTCACGATGTTGTGTCTCGTCACCCTGAATTGCTCTCCCAGCTCTCTTCTCTCTCCCACGCCGAGATCTCTCTCTCCTCCCTCCGCTCCTCCGTCTCCTCCCTTCAGTCCTCTATCCGCCGTGTCCGATCAGATCTATCCGAACCTGTACGCTCGATCCGATCCAAATCTGTTCAGCTATCCAATCTCCACTCCGCTACTGAGTTACTTTCTCACTCGGTCCGTACGCTGCGTCTCTCGAAGAAGCTTCGGGATCTCACGGATTCTCCCGATCCAGATAAGATCGACCTCACGAAAGCTGCACAGCTCCATTTCGAGATCTTGACAATGTGTAAAGAGTACGATCTATTCGGCATTGACGTTATCGACGAGGAAATCAAGTTCGTCAACGAGATTGGGGAGAAATTGAGATCTGAAGCTATGAAGGTGTTGGAGAGAGGCATGGAAGGGTTGAATCAGGCCGAGGTGGGAACTGGGTTGCAGGTTTTCTATAACCTCGGAGAGCTGAAGCATACGGTGGACCAATTGGTGAACAAGTACAAGGGCATGGCCGTGAAGAGTGTGAGCGTTGCTATGGATATGAAGGCAATTTCTTCTAGCTCAGGTGGTGGGTTTGGTCCGGGAGGGATTAGGTCTAGCGGAGCACCGCACATTGGCGGTGGGGCTAAGACTAGGGACGCCCTGTGGCAGAGGATGGCGAGTTGTATGGAGCAGTTGGATTCACTTGTAGTCGCTGTGTGGCACTTGCAGCGTGTACTGTCGAAGAAGAGAGATCCATTTACGCATGTCCTTCTTCTTGATGAAGTCATCAAGGTAAGGAACTATTGGAATTTTACTGGATATTTAGGCTCCTAGAGAGTTTAATCTGCATTAGGTAATTGAGAGAAATCTGCAATAATCTTGGATATGGATGGGGAGATTATTGTCACTTTTAGCGTGCATGAATGATTGATGTTTGATCAACTTTAGTAGATGATTTTTTTCATGTTTTTGCATCAAGAAGGAAGCTTTGGATTTGGAATGTGTTACATAGATGAGTGTTCTCGGATGTGGATGAGAAGATTATTGTCACTTTTAGCGATCATGATTGATGTTTGATCAACTTTTAGCAGATGATCCATCCATATTTTTTGCCTCAAGATGAAAGCTTTGGATTTGGAATGTGTTTCTGTGATGTTGGTTAAATTATGCTTATTGGGGGGTTTTATTGCTGACATGAAGTGTTTATATGCACAGGAAGGTGATTCGATGTTAACAGACAGAGTCTGGGATGCACTCGTGAAGGCGTTTACTAGCCAAATGAAGTCTGCATTCACAGCTTCGAGCTTTGTAAAAGAAATATTCACCATGGGATATCCGAAGCTCGTGTCTATGATTGAGAATCTTCTTGAAAGGATCTCTCGCGACACCGACGTGAAAGGAGTGTTACCTGCCATTAATTCAGAAAGGAAAGAACAAATGGTTTCATGCATTGCAATATTCCAGACTGCTTTCTTATCCCTATGCTTTGGCCGGTTGTCAGATCTTGTGAACTCGATATTCCCTATGTCTAGCCGCGGGAGTCTACCTTCGAAAGAGCAGATCTCACAGGTGTTATCACACATCCAAGAAGAGATCGAGGCTGTTCATCCAGATGGTCGTTTGACTCTACTAGTTTTGCGTGAGATTGACAAGGCTCTTAAGAATCTAGCTCAACGAGCTGAGTGCCAGGTATGTTCAACTTCTTATACACATTCTTTTATTAAGTCCCCAGAGTATGGCATCAATTTCTGCTTGAACCCAATGCATATATTCATTTCTTACGAATTCATAAGGTTGCATGGAAATGTAAAGAGTAAAATATTAAATGTCATTGTTACACACCAGACAAAAATGATGGAAAATAGAGACATTACCGCATGTGTATACGTGTTAGCTGCTACTTTGGCTGATATAATAATCAGGGTTACGCAGATAAGAGAAGTTAGAACAGTATGTATGGTTTAATATTTGACATATAACGCAGATACTTTTGTATCACAGATTTCTACAGGCCCTGAGACGCGACAGATAACAGGTCCCGCAACTTCAACACAGATCAGGAACTTCACATTATGCCAGCATCTGCAAGGAATCCACACGCATATCTCATCCATGGTATCAGACCTTCCCAGTATCGCTGCTGACGTATTGTCTCCTTCTCTGAGTGCAATATACGGTGCGGCATGCGAGCCAGTTACACCTTTGTTCAAAGCAATGCGAGACCAGCTCGAGTCATGCATTCTCCAAATCCACGATCAAAACTTTGGCGTTGATGATTCCGCGTTAGACAACAACACTTCCCCATACATGGAGGAGTTGCAGAGATCGATCCTCCACTTCCGCAGGGAGTTCCTATCTAGACTATTACCCTCCGCAGCAACGGCCAACACTGCAGGTGCAGAGTCAATCTGCACTACGCTTGCGAGACAAATGGCTTCGAGGGTTTTGATCTTCTACATCAGGCATGCTTCCCTTGTGCGACCACTTTCAGAATGGGGAAAACTCAGGATGGCTAGAGACATGGCCGAGCTGGAACTAGCCGTGGGACAGAATCTGTTCCCTGTGGAACAACTCGGTGCACCGTACAGAGCTCTTAGAGCGTTTAGACCACTGATCTTCCTGGAAACAACTGAGATGGGATCGTCTCCTCTCATTCAGGATCTTCCACCGAGCATCGTCCTCCATCATCTTTACACGAGAGGCCCCGACGAGTTAGAGTCGCCGATGCAGAAGAACAGACTGAGTCCTAAGCAGTACTCACTGTGGCTTGATAACCAAAGAGAGGAGCAGATCTGGAAAGGGATTAAAGCGACGTTGGATGATTACGCAGTTAAGATCAGGTCGAGAGGTGACAAAGAGTTTAGTCCAGTGTATCCTCTTATGCTTCAAATTGGATATTCTTTGACACAAGAGAACTTATAAACTCCATATATATGCTTCTTTGTTTCTTCTTTCCTTTTTTTCCAATGCTTTTGAGTTCTCTTGCAGGTCGAATCAATAAATCGTTTTTGGTCTTGTGGAGTTTTTCTTAAGTTATAGTGACAATATTCTCTCATATACACAAACATGTCATGTAAATCCAGATTCATACATCATGCCATGGTTGGTGTCTTCGATAGAGTTTTTTTGCTTTTGTTTGTGTTATGTTGAGATTGAACCATCTCTTTACAGTAGTCAGCTTAAATTAGTTTCAATACCTTTCAATTAGCAGACACAAGCCTGGATTGATGCATAGATCAAAGGAGTCAAAAGGGTTTACTCTGCAAAGAAGGGAGATTCATCTAACATATTCAAACCCAAAGAGTATTTACATTAGGAAACTATATACAACAAAAGCCTGCAACTATTAGGAACCTCCTCTTCTTCTTCTTCATCTTCTCTCACTGTCTCTCTATGTTACAAAGGAGAACATCAACATGGATCAATTCCCAACGGAAATAGATCTCTCTCCTAAACCGAGTGGAGAACGTGAACGTTGACGCTTCATGATCTGGCCAAGGACCCTTCTCATCTCCGGCTGCTGCAGCGACGGCTCCTTTATCTTCTCAAGTTCTTTCTTTATCTTCACCACTTGGCTGTGTTTTGGACCATCCTCGTTTCCAATATTGGTCTTGTTCTCCATTTCCACACAAAGGCACCAAAGCAAGGAACCTGTTTAACTATGTTCTGTGTTGAGGACACGAGAAGCGAAACTAGATTGGTACGCAACGCAGGACTAATCTATGGGTTTTTTGTGATTTTGAGATATTATTACAGAGAGACGACTCTTTCTTTATCTCTGTCTCTGTTTATAAACAAACGTGAAGAAAGAGAGAAGGGCGGTATTTTCGGTGAGATGGTGGTTACGTGTCAGAAAGGGTGAAACACTTGTGACGAATCTCCTACGCATTTCTATAAAATTTTGACCTTTTATTTAATAAGATTGATATTGGAAAAATCTGAAACCGGGGAAAGAGTCGGTTTTTGAACGTTGAGAGACCAAAAGGCTGCCATGTGGACTCAAGTCGTTGGTCAAATTAGAAGATTCTAGTGGATATCCTGATCGTGACCATTTCCTTTTAATCAGTCGTCAATTCCTTTTATGCAAACGCATTAGACTCGTGTTCCTTTTTTTGGCATTAAAATAATAAGAAGCTTACACGTTTTGTTTTGTTTAGTTCATCAGGAATAAAAACGGATTTAAATCCACTCCAACCAAATTTCGAATTAGGAGCACAACATGACCAACATCTACCTTTAATTACTAACCCACAGCAACAACCATTCATGAAATTGGGTTTTTATTTTTTATTTTTTTCAATTAGCAATAAACATAAACTAACTTTTCTTAAAAAATTAAAACTGATAGTAATTACATTTCTATTCTATCTATTTAGCCGATGCGGTATATTCTCAATCTTCAATTTAACTAAGCTTTTAATTCGCGCTACGCGCGAATCTATATTAATAATATGGTTTAATTTTTGTTTGGGATAATATTTTTTAAATTATAAAAACTATAATATATTTATAGAAATGTTCTTGTATATAAAATGCTAAAACGTAATATGTAGTTTTCTTATTTTAGTTTATAAAATTATGAATCCTTTTAAGTAAAATCATAATAATAACATCTAACAAATTATCCAAATTCGACGTGCATAAGTTTGATTTAGAAAATGATTTCCTTACTAAATTTTTGGTGTTTTGTTTCGTGTCCTTAGGATTTCTATAGTTTTATTTTTAAGGTTTATATAGTTAAATATTTAATTTTTTTACTAAATACCTCACTGATGTTGTGTATCTATACATATATAAAATATGATATATGTTGATTCAGATTTACTTTTGTTAGTAAGCTATAGCACTCGTGTAAAGCTGCTTTTTGCTTCTCCACCAGATCTTCTATGAATTTTAGGTTATATTTATATTCAGTTTATAAAATCTGTTTTATTTGCTGTTAACTATTTGCTAATTTTTGTTTTAAACATGTAAGATGGTGTGGAGACTTCACATTATCACTATTTATTTTATTTTTTTTTATCTTTTGTATGTTTTATTCATGTTTTGATTTGAATAATTTCTCTATATATATTCCAATTTGTATTTGATTCATAACTTTGTCATATTTTATTATTTAAATAAAATTTTAGAAGATATTGCTCATGTGTTGTTCATGTTGGCTAAGTAGGAGTTATTGGTTCTTGAATTTTGGTGGATTTAGAAATCTTCTTTTGATTTGATAAATTTATTGATTTCAAAATCAGAAAAATAGAAAAAAAAATCAAATCCACTCAAATACCAAGGTTAGAACTTGTATTTGAGTCTTTGTATTTTAGTCATGAAAATCCTTCCAAATCCATTCAAATTCAATTAAAACTCAAATATTATATTTTAAAATGATAGAACTAATAACACTGTATTTCATTATAAATTTTAAAATCATAGAACCAATAATACTGTATTTCAATATAGATTTTAAAATACAAGAACCAATAACACTGAATTTGGTTTGGATTCTCAAATCCATTAAAATACAAGAACCAATAACACCTCCTAAGTTATAAGAAATAATTATGTATAAAAATCAGACTTTATTACTTGTTATATTTTGAATGTAAAGTTACTTGTGTAGTATTTTTCTTTGTTAAATTTTAAATCAGACACATCCAAAGTATAAGTCTTTGTAAATTTAAATAATATGTTTAATTTATAAATGTGTATAACCTACTATAAATTTATATGGTTATTCATAGTCACCACCAATATTTTAGAATCATGAATTTTCTGAAACTAAATTTCAAACTAATTTTCTTTTTACATCTTGTTTTTCATTATTTTAAATATCTTCGATGGTAATTTTATATTTTATTTTAATCATCTAATTTTTTTTGCATGTTTGATATACTTAAAACACATATATATATATATAATTAATCTCTTTTTTTATTGATTTTTCAATGAGGTAGCATATATATCAATTTAATATCTTTGACATTATATTTTTTCTTTATTAAAATTACTTTTAAAATTAATTAAAATGCTATTTTGACATGCTGTAACTGGTTATTCTAAATTTTATGTCAACTGTTCTCAAAAGCTTATACCAATATTTGCTTTTTTTAATTATTTTTTTTTGCTAGTTAGCTTAAATATCAAGCTAATTTTACTGTATACGAATTTTTCGTTTGATAATTTACTTCTCTTGATATTGATTTCTATTTTATTTTAACACACAACTGTTTTGAAAATATTGATATTTCTAAGACATAATTTCATTTTTTTATTTTTAGTTAGTTAAATATTTTTATATGGATTTTTAAGTAGTTAGTCAGATATCAAGTCAATATATTTTTAGGTGTTTTTTGAAAAATTTAACATTTTGTAAAACTTAATTTTTTTAGCTTTTTAGCTTTTTAGTTAATTAATTTTTTAATATTGGTTTTTTAAATAATTATCTTAAATATTGATATTATCTTTGTTAGTTAATTATTTAGTATTACTTATGTTTTTTATTCTCTTACTCATTTCGTTTACATTGATTTTGTTAAATAAATAACATAGATATCAAGTTAATATCCTTTTTTTGTTAATTCAACTTTCTCGATATGGACTTTCTTTTTAATTGTATTGACATGTTGCAAGAAATAATTATTATTTTTTGTTTTTTGTAAATTAAAATTTTCTTTATATTGCTTTTTTCAATAATTAGCATAAAGTATTATTTTTGGTTAGTTAAACTTCTGTGTTAATTTTCTAAATAATTACACTAAGTATCAAGTTTTAAATGACTATTTCTTTTGTTAATTTAACATAAATATTTTTTTGGTAGTATTGATATTTTTAAATAACAGTTTTATATATTTATATAAAATTTTAATCTTAATTTTTTAAAAAAATAAATTACTCATTTAGAATATATAGAGAAATTCCCTCAAATGTAACTAATCTAAGTTTTTGTTCCTAATATACACTAATACTCTAAAAAATTCCTTCCATAACATTTTTCACTAAAGACTTGACGATATTAACCTTAGTTAGACAAAACATTAGTTAATAAAAAGAGAAGAAAAATAGTGTACAAATAAAGGTATCAATGGCCAAAACTGATATGAAATTTGAATTTTTTGTTTTTTTTAGGATTGCTCTTCTTGTTTGATTGGGAATCTTTTAGATCTTTAAAGTTTTTTTTATGGGAAAGTGATTTCGTAATTTAAAGCTTAAAATCATATTGTGAAAGATAGATCTGATATAATTGGGTGAAAAGCTCAAGAAATCCGAGCTAAAACAACAAAAATGGTGAAAAAAAAGAAATTGGCGGAAATTAAGGTTTAGGTGACGCAGAAGTGAGGAAGTAGATAAGAGTAAATTTAGAAAGATATTCTAAAAGTTTAGGAAGATTTTCCTAAAATGTATAAATTAAAGAAGTCATTACATGTATTTAGGAATACCTTCGTAAATTGTATAATCATTTTTTTTGTTAATTTATACAACTCAAATTCAGGAAACCTTTCCAGAAAGTCTTTCCACAATTCAGGAAGCCCTTCTACAATTCATGAAACTTTTAAAAAATTAGGAAAGCTTTCCTAAATCACATGAAACGCTCATAAATTATATTATTTGGAAGACCTTCCTAAAGAATCACGAAATATTAACAGAAAGAAAAAAACATTTAGGAAGAACTTTCAAAGGACAAAATCGGAAAATTCAAATGAAAAATGTTAGAGGTGAAATTTTTTTAGCTTTCCTATTATATTTGTCCTCAAAACATGTTTATAATGTAGTTATGAAAATTGCCCGAATATATATGCTAAATATTTTTTAAATTTAACTTTTTCGTTATTTATTTACATTTTTTTTATTTTGGTTTTTATGACAATGAGATTCCATTTTATTTTGACAAATGTTATAGATTTGGAATTTTCACATAATTTTATTTTATCTGTTTTCTTAGTTAATTTTTTTTATCTTAATACTCCATTCTACTATAATAATTTAATATTTTGCATGTTTTAATTTATTTAAATTATTAATAATATCTAATATTTTTTAACTTTAATAAAAACGGTGATATAGACCAATCAGATTGAATATATATGTCCTATGTGCATGCTCTCATTAGCATAAAACATCAACACTGACCACAACTAATATAGTTAAGTTAGCAGTTCAGATTTTAATTGTTTATCGTGATTAAAATTTTAAAATTATTTTGATTATGGTTTTAAATACAGTTATTAATTATTCTTTCAATATATATGATTTTTCTTTCATAATCTATTTATATGTTAATTTAATTTATATCGTTAATAAAAAAAATAAGGTCTATTTTCAAAAAAAAATTATTAATAACTAACTTAAAATTTAGAAACTTTCCTAATAACAAAAAACACAAAGTTAATTAAAATTTAGAAATTTTCCTTATAACAATTAAAACGAATTAATTAATTTTAATATACAATATATAATTAACTAAATATAATGATGATGTGTACCAATAAAATTGAATCTTTAAATCATATGTGGACACACTTAGAGGCATTTAACATCAACTTTTATTAGTAATAGACTAGGTATAGAACTCGCGCAACGCTCGAGTCTGTATTAATATTTTGGTTTATTTTTTTAGCTACTATCTTTAAAATTATTAAAAATTATATATATATATATAGAGAAATTTTGATTTATATGAGATAATTTAATATATAATGTGTAATTTATCCTATTTTTAATTATAAATTTTAAAAAAACTATTAGGTAAAATAATAACAATGACACCTATCGAATTATGCAACTTTGACCTACATATACATTTGATATTATTAGGTAAAATCTTGCTAAGATTTTGGTATTATTTTCTGTTTTTCATA